CCAATCCCCCAGCACTGTTCCCATCCCAATTCCCCAATACAAATCTTAAAAAAAAAAAAGATGGAAAAATTAAAAAAAAAAAAAAAGAAATGTTTTGGCATTAAATGGGGAGGGGAACCTGTGGACAAAACTGCTTTCCCTTACCTCAAAGCTCAGTTTTGAATACTAGTCTTTAAAGCCATTTTTATTTCCAGTGTTCAGTTTTAATTAAAAACCACAGTCACAATTTTATAGTTCCACTGGCAAATCCAAAAGGGGAATTCATACAAGAGAAAATCAACTTATTAAAAACACACTGCCTTTCTAATAGGTCCACTAGAGTAACAATTTTCCTCAGGTTCAGTAGTTCCTTATATAATAACTAAAACATTTAAATTTAGTTTTCTTACCTGCAAGTGATAAACTTATTTTTAAAACATACTTAATTTGAATTAGATGATAAGGATATTCGCATAGGAAAGAGACTAGAGGTTGTTGTTTTCTATTGGCAAACATAAGAGTTGGAAGTTGAGTGGTCTGGCTTTTTTAAATGATGATTCGATTTATTTTTATGTTATTAACAGTAGAAACTTCTGTCCCCAGGACTCTGTTTTAGGCAGATTTCTGGCACATGATTTTCTTCTTAGATACTATTTCTTGTAACTCGTTTATCTTTATAAGAGTGTTTCAGAGGAAAGATCAGCTATCCTTTGTTCTTTCCAAAAGGCACGTAGTTCTTGATGTACTGCTTTTCATTACTATAGTGTATAACAGCTGAGCCTGTTCTTGGGGGTTTTCCCCCTGAATTCTCCCATAAAATGTAGGCCTGTCTCCCATGGCATCAGAGAGCAGGCTGGGATAATCCCGTGGTTGACTGCACAACGGGCATATCTTCTCAAAGAGCTCTGTTGCAAAGTACTCATTCGTTTTACAGGAGACAACTATTATGTAGCTGCCAGTTGACTATCTTTTCCTGAATCCTATTGCCTAAAGCTTGGTAGTAAGCATGATGGGATACTGTCTTTGTGGAAACAAGAAATGTGTGAGATAAATTAAGTTAAAAATGTCATGCAGCAAACTTAATCGGAACATGAACATAAAACTGGCCAGCAGGGTTCAAATTCTCATGTACCCACGGATCCACACAGAGAACCATATTCTGGCTAGTCTCAGTAATTAATGCAATTTTACTGAATTATTTCTCGTGCGCTACCTTCTGGTCCTCCATGTCTTGTATTACAGTATTTGTGATTGGAGTATATTTCATGTTATGTTATATTTGCATGTTACATGGTACATATGATATATATATATATATATATATATACACATATGCACAAATGTAAATAAAATAATGTATATGAAATGCATTTCATGCTGTGCTCTTTTATAATAAGTTCAGCATGCTTATCATTTCCATCTTGTTCTTATTTGTTGGTCCTACACTGCTTTTTTTGTTTTTGCACATTTCCAATTCTTCACTTTTTCCAGTGTTATCTGTCTTGGTCATTGTGAAATTTTATTTTGTTCTTATCTTTTTTTTTTAAAGGTTTTGTTGGGGACTTGGGGGAGGGGAACAGCATTGGGGAATCGGGGAAGGGGAACAGACAAGTTGCTGTCCTTTTGTTTTTCAGTCTAGTTGTGGAGGACGTTGCTTCACTGGCCCATGTTGGTATTATCATTGCGCTCTTCCCCGGGTGAGGCAATTGGTCGCCGGCCTCTAGACGGCCACTCATGGTGGCTCACGGCTGCTCATGCCAGCTGCTGGCCACTCATGCTGGCTGTCAGCCACTCACAGTAGCTCATGGCAGCCCACTGCAGCCCCGCTGCAGCCTGCGCCATCGCTGGCAACTCAAGGCAGCCCAGCTCCAGGTCAAACTGTTGTTCACCATCTTAGCTATAGAGGGCGCAGCGTCACTGGCCCTCATGTGGGATCTGAACTGGGACCCTGCTTCTCAGAGCTGGCATCCCAAGCCAACTCTTAACCAATGCGCCACACAGCCAGCCCTGTTCTTTTCTTTTGATCATTTATGTATTTCATTGACATTTATTCTCTGGGTTCTCAAAATGTTTAGACATCATGAAAAAGCAAATTCTATGTGTTTAAGTAAACACATAATCAAATGCATGGCATTTTTTGATAATGTAAATGTTCAGACATTTGTAATAGTTATATGCACTCTATAAAGCTCAATATGTAACTGATTTTATGTGTAGAAACTCTAAACCTATTACAAAAAGATTAAAAGAATAAACTTTCACAAATGCACAGATTTCTTATATCACTGCCTGTCACTCATCTGTCAGGGTCCACAGCAATATGTTTGCAAATTGTATCATGTGATCCCTGGAGGTTGACAAGCTTCATTGACTGGGATGGTTCCACGGAAGACCATGACCCATGGAAAGCTGACCAGTGAAAGCTTGGGACCAACGTATCCAATCTACATAGATAATATCTCTCCTTATTTTTCTTTCTCTGTTTTTCATCCTCTCCATTTTATGCCTCTCTTCTGTAAAGTATTTCATGTCTTATAGTGAAAATACATGTGTCCACAGGTTTTGAAAAGATAAATGCGAGTTGAAGTACCTTAGAGAGTTGATGGAGCGCATTACTCAACGTATCAGGGATGACGTCTGAGATAAGTGGTGTTTTCAGCCAGTGGTTCTCAAACCTCAGTGGCATCAGAATCATCTGGAGAGCTTGTTAAAACAGATTGCTGGGCCCACCCCCAGAGCTTTTGATTCTGTAGGACTGGGAGGGGTCCCAAGAACATGCATTTCTAACAAATTCTCAGGTGAAGCTGGTGCTCCAGTGCGGGGGGGGCTACACTTTGAGAACCACTGTTCTCAGGTCACTTTATCATGTGTTTGGGATGAGGAAACTAGGCCCAGAGAGAAAGGGACTAGCTCAAGAGCTCACAAATGTAGCAGGTTGTATCTAGGCTAGAATTAGAACTAGGTCTTCAGGCTCTGGTCCTGTAGTGTTTCCTGGAGTCTGTTCTTTGATTGACCAGAGAAGAAGTCCCTTCCTGACCAATCTGACCCCTCCCAGGTTCCTGTCTTTGTATAGCACTGTCTCTGGCTGGCCTGTCTCTTTTTCTGTATGCCCTATGAAGAGAGAGGGCTTTAATGCTCTATACTAGAGCCTAAAGTTATCTAAATATATTTCAGCCTTTTCATTTTTAGGTCTAAGTTAAGAATTATTCATGGAACATTTGTCTGTGGATTTGTGATCATTTGGAGATTAATACTAATGTCATCATTTTTTGAAACAAGGCCTATTAAACCCAGGTCTGTATTATGTCAAGAAAAAGCAAGTTAAAGGCAGCATAGGTTGCAAGATTAATGATGGAAAAATAGAAATGGTTGGATTTTTACTTGGGTCTAAAGATTTTGCTCTTAATTCAATGACATTTTACTGAAATATTATTTAACTAAAGGAGTTTTCTGCAAAATCTCCTAGCCTATATTTTCATGGTAGGAAATAATTATAAAAATGATTTTGGTAGGTGAGCAATTGTTAAATGGAATTTCATTAAGTTGTTTTCATAAGAATATGAATTGGTTAAATTTAGTTGGCTAAGGAGAATAACAGTTGTGTATTTATGATTACTACTTACTGATTAATTTCAGTGATTTTCTTATTGGGATGCAGATTGTCAAAATGGCATTGATGTACCATAAAATTCAAATAACTGTCACCTGATAATTACATACTAGATCTGGGTACAGAAAGAAGTGACCTTGAATAATTGAGGGAATTAAAATAAGTAGTGTTTTCCAAACCACTGGGGAAGAAAGTTAGCCCACTTAGAGTTGGACTCAATTCAATTCAATAAATCTTGACTAAGGGCCTTCTCTACCTAAGAAATGCACTTTTCTAGGTAGGTTTTGGAGTCCATATAGGACCTCAAGGGCCAGTGTCTTTGAATTGTTATGAAAATCAGTGTAGAACATGTGTGCCTTTATACACATGTGACAATAAATGTCTTTTGGAAGAATTATGGTTGAATGATGAAGGCAAAAACTGGATTTTGAGATTGATGTTATTATTTTCATTTTTCATGTGAGCAAAGGCATGAGTCACAGTGAACATGCCATGCTATCATCTGTCATTTTGGGGCAATGGAGAAACCGCAGTCTTTTCACATTGTGGAAATGGGGTTTAGGCCACACTTGTAATCCTTCATGTTGCTTTCTGTATTTTCAGCGTCTTGTGGAGGCTGCAGAAGAAGCACACCTGAAACACGAATTCGATGCAGACTTACAGGTAACTGATTATCGTTTGAGTTCAGTTGTTTTCGGTGTTTGCTGCCAGAGGAGAAACACTAGATGTACCAGGAATCCCAGGTTCCAGGGGTTGGGAAAGAAAAGCACTTGAGGGGAGGATGCAGTGCTGGAATAAATGTGCGTTTTTTTTTTTTTAATTTTTGATTTTTTTATTTTATTGGGGAATTGGGGAAGGGTAACAGTGTTGGGGAATTGGGGAAGGGGAACAGCCAAGTTGTTTTCCTTCAATCTTAGTTGTGGAGGGTGCAGCTACCTCAGCTCCAAGTCTAGTCACCATCTGGCCACCCATCGGCAGCTCGTGGCTACTCAGCTCAAGGTGCGGTGTTCAATCTTAGTTGCGGGTGGGTGTAGTCCACCATCCCATGTGGGAGTCAAACCGGAAACGTTGTTGCTAACAGCATACGCTCTAACCACTGAGCCATCCGGCCGCTCGTTGGCAGCTCAGGGCAGCTCAGCTCAAGGTGCTGTGTTCAATCTTAGTTGCAGGCAGGGATAGCCCACCACCCCATGCGGGAGTCAAACTGGCAACTTTGTTGTTAAGAGCACGTGCTCTTACCAGCTGAGCTATCCTGCCACCTGTTGGCAGCTCAGCTCGGGCACAGCCCACTGGCCTATGTGGGAATCAAACTGGTGATCCTGTTGCTCAGAGCTCACGTTCTTAACCAACTGAGCCACTCGGTCAGCCCTAAATGTGCGTTTTTTGAGAAGGCAGGATAGCAATCCTCAACCATTTTCCACCATGACAATTACAATGGATAATAACACGTGCTCACATGCATGTAACCAGGTTTTGATGAATTCCTCCCCAGTTCTGGGGGAGTTAAGTGTCAATAATTACCAGATCTTAATGGTAAATTGATAAGACAGCAGGATATAGACACATCTCTGGCTGCATTTTAAATCATTGAAAAGAATGTTGTGATGGGTCTAATGTTGAATTGACTGTTAATTATATTTAAAAATGAAATTATTCCCAGATGTGGGGTTTGAATATCTACATAATAAATTTCTTGCACTGGATCTCATATCTAATCATGGCACACCTGTGTCTGGTTGAGAAAACATAGTAAACATAGAAGTATAGGAAACATAGTAGAAGGCAACAAGTGAACTGAATCATACTTGGAAGTTCTTTTGGGCCCCTCCTGAAGGAAATTTTATCTGTATGGTCATGTTGAGTTCTGTGGCTTTTCCTCACTGCTAGAAAAACAGAAGGAGTCCATCTTAATACTTAAGTTTGTGCTTTGATAGAATATAGCCTTTTTAGTGGCATGTGGCACAATTAGGAAATATTGCTAATTTTACTATGTTTTCATTTACATGGAAAAGATAAAGTCAGACATAAATCTTCAAGCACAAAAAAAGGATGGTGATACCTAAGATAGCCTTTGGCTGTGTCTGTCCCATGGATGTCCCTCTTGTCATTATTGCCATCTATATTTTTTTGCCTTGGGGTAATTGAGGGAAGTTTAATAAATGGACTATTTAAAAATGTATGGTAAGAGGAAACCAACAAGCAGTGGTGTGGTGACCCAGGGTAGGCCAGCCGCCTGGCCTGAAGGAGCGAGGAAAGGAAATGTCTTCAGAAGCCAGGGATAGTAGCTCTGTGGAAGGGGCACTTGACAGAGGGGCACAGACACCCATGCCGAGCTGGCAGGGGTGGAATTTTGGGGTAAGGTCCCCCAAAACAATCTATAGCCTTTTGATCTCTCTGGTACCCACCTTTGGCTGAATCCAGCTGTTGGTGTAGTTGATTTGATTCAGCTCCTGAGACGTTGCACTGGGTGGAGAAGGGTGAAGGATGGGTCTGGAGTGCTCGCTTCGGCAGCGCATGTACTAAAATTGGTATGATACAGAGAAGATTAGCATGGCCCCTGCACAATTTCGTGAAGCATTCCATATTGTTTGAAGGGATTAGAAAGTACAAATTGATAGTTAAAAAATAGTCACGGGGATGTGAAATATAGTATGGGGAATATAATCAATACTGTTGTAAAGAGTAAGTAGGATACAGATGGGCACTGGACTTATTGCGGAGGATCATGTCATAGATTGTGTAGATGCCTGACCACTACGTAGTACACCTGAAGCTGAAGTGGAATAATATTGAATGTCAACTATAATTAAATATCTGTGTGTATGTGTGTGTGTGTGTGTGTGTGTGTGTGTGTGTGTGTGTGTGTACACATACATGGTCACAGGATGTAAAGTACAGCATAGGGAATACAGTCAACACAGCTTTATCGTAACAGCTTTATATGATGTCAGGGGTAGTAGACTTGAGCAAGGGGGTTATCACTTTGTGACTGGTGTAAATGTCTAATCATTATGTTGTTTTGTAAACCTGAAACTAATCTTAAAAAAAATAAAATTAAAAAGAACTAGGAAAAAAAAAAAGACTAGGTCTGGAGGGGAAGCAGAAAATATCAAGCCTACCACCTGGGGGTCATTTTCAGGCATAATACCCCGAATATGAAGTAAATAGAGTCAGAAATGTAGCAAGCACATGAGGTTCCAAGGGAAGGTGGCGATGTTCTGCGGACTGGTGGTACCATTGGGAGGCGAGTGAGGAAGCCAACCCAGCTCTTTGAGCAGAGCTGCAAGAGAAGGAGCAGAGGAGTCAGCTGGATATATTGAGAAGCACCTTGTTTTCCTATAGCCACAACCATGGGGCGGCACCAGGAAGATCCAGGGACCATTTACTTGTCACACTTGACTTCAGTGTGCCTCCTCTTCAGAGGGTTTGCACTTTCTAGAGTGGGCCAGAGGGATTTAATGAGGCATCAGGAAGCACCTTGGTAAGTGTGAAGATTGGAAGGACCTCTTGAGTGTGTTGCCAAGGGAAAGTGTCTCTCTCTCCTCAGGACTTCCTGAAGCCTTTTCAGGAATATTCTGGTACTGTATGACACAAACTCAACTGAAATCAACTAAAAATTAGATTATAACATTGAATAAAATAAGAATCCAAAATAAGAATGCTATGACAATAAAAAACAGGTAAACACATAAATATGTAAATAAATGACAAGGGAAAACTCTTACAGTTGAGTTGAATGTCAACTACTATAGAAGAAATGATGGAGTTAGAAAACTATGGTAACTGGTTCAGACAAGAATCTACAGTGGGTATAAAACTAGCAGGTGAACGTTTGATGAACAGGACATTGACAGCCTTGAAGCATCTGCTTACAAATTACTTATTAGTTTACCTATTAGTTACAGGGGAAGATAGAACTTTATTATGGAGAAAAATTGCACACATTATCTTAAATAGGGAATCAAAGTTAATATCATCAACAATGAGGGCCGGCCGAGTGGCGCGTTGGTTAAGAACTGGCTTGGGACGCCAGAGGGCCCCGGTTCGGATCCCACATATGAGGGCCAGTGACACTGCCCTCTACAGCTAAGATGCTGAACAACAGCTCAACCTGGAGCTGGGCTGCCATAAGTCGCCAGCAACGGCGTAGGCTGCAGCCCCTGTGGCAGTGGGTTGCCATGGGCTACTGTGTGTAGCCAGCAGCTAGCGTGAGCGGCGAACAGCTGCAGTGAGCGGCCGTCCAGAAGCCGGTGACTGATCTGCCTCACCCGGGAATAGTATAGTAATGGTGCCAACTTGGGCCAGTGAAGCGACGTCCTCCACAAGTAGATTGAAGAACAAAACGACAGCAACTTGTCTGTTCCCCTTCCCCCAGTTCCCCAGTGCTGTTGCCATCCCTCAATTCCCCAATAAAATCTTCAAAAAACAAATATCATCAACGATGGAACAAAGTGACATTAAGTACCTCCAGACGTGGTGACCAGAAAGAATACAACATCACTTATATAAAATCCTTTCACAATGTGTCCGAAATGTATAACCTGAATCTAATCATAATAAAACATCAGAGAAATCTGGATTAAGGAACAGTTCACAAAGTAACTGGCTGAACTCTTTAAAAATGTCAAGGTCAAGAAACAGAAACATGGAGGACTTGTTCCAAGACTAAAGGACATTAAAGACACATGACAACTAAATGCAACGTGTGATCCTAAATTGGATTCTGAATCAGAAACCAAGATTTGAATATGGACTGTGCATTTAGATAATAATATTGCATCAATGTTGAATTTCCTGATTTTGCTCCTTGTATTATGTTTCTGTAAGAGAATGTCCTTGATCTTGGGTTTTTCTGGACCAAACAGATGGAATTCTGTTTGAATTGGATTCTGTTTGAATCCATTGGTCCAATAGGAAGGAGTGAGTTCACAGGAGAGCCAAAAAGATTCTTGGAAGTCAGGACTGTTTGGGAAAATGTGTTTACAGCTCATATACTTAATTTTATTCTGAGATTGGTTGTCTAATAAAGGTAGGTGGGGAAGAGAGGGAATGATTTAATTGACTTGACGGGTTTTTATTCTTCAACAGAGGAAAAATGTTCTGTGGTTTAGCTCAACTAACCTCAAGCTGCTCTTTTTTTTGTCTGTTTGGAGCTATTGTTATCTTTCAAGAGTGTTCTGATTTCTTTCCCATTATCAAAGCTTAACAATAAAAATCCTGGTGTAGCACAACTGATTCCTTGTCAAGTGTGGTGCTGTAAACACGAGTGCGGCATCGGCCTCTTGAAAAAAAATGGAGGGGGAGAAAATGAGTCTCTGGAGTATTATAGCATTTGTTCTCTTGCGAACAAAGAAGGGGAGCCCAGCTTTGTCCTCCCCAGTTGTGTGTTCTGTATGAGGACGTGAGAAATATCAGAGGCTCCAGCTGTGGTTGGAACACACGAGGAGATGTTGAAATAATCAGTCAATATGACAGAGTGTCTTTCGCTACTTGGACCTCAGACCTCGGTGAAACCTTCTCTGGGTCAGGGTAAAGCGAGTGCTCTTTTGTGGAAACCTGTAAGAGAGAGGCCTTTGAGAGAAGGCATGTGTATCGAACACTGCATGTCTGCTCAGGTGAAGGCTTTGAGGCTGCAAAGCATCGATGTCTGTTAATAGCTTGGGTGTCAGCCCCATTGCTATTCCTGGGGTAGCAGGTCTGTGTACAGGCTCTGAGTTGATTGCTATGATGGTCCATTAGAGCTGATCAATTGTTAATCTGGGTTCCGTGACCTCTTGGCAACCCCTGCCAGTGGATTGTTTTTATAAAAAAAAAATTCCGACCACCATCTGCTCGCCATGAAATAATGCTGAGGAGGTCCCCGCACTGATAGCTCAGGAAGAGCAGAGAGAGGTGGAGGTCTATTTTCCTACAGGGGGAAAAAAATAAACCCCCTCCCCACACACACACAGTGTTTTTGTGAAATTTCTTAAACTGTGTAGCTTCAAGTTATACAGGCTCAGCCACCCCCTGCCCCGTTCCTCAAAAAGAAAAGAGAAAATGGATCTGCCCTGTTACTTCAGCTTGGCGTCTTTGCGTCATTGCACCATTCATGTGCTTGAAAAGGGAAGAATTTGTTTTTCATTGGTACAATCATCAAAAGCTACCAAAAGAAAGTCATGCCTCCGTTGTCAGAATTTTATTTTCCATTTAATTTTTCTCTTACTGTCTCTCCAGGGGTTTAACTCTTTTCTTAGAGGTTTATGGTCTTGAAGTTGGCAGTCTCTTCTGTAAGTTCCTTAAATATGGCATTAGATTATTAGTTCCTAAAAAAACTATATCAGGCAAGAGGCAAAATACAACCTTTGAAGGGTAGCCCATGTGAGCACCACACAGTACAGTGCCCTCCACAGACCCCAGAGCTGGCTTGAAAGCTTCCTTGTGGGCGCTGGTGTCAGCTCAGCCCCCTGGTTTTTCCCCCTTTCCGATGGCCTGTGGATTCCAGGTTGGCCTTCTCTTGGTTTTGTTCTTTATTCCCTGATGCATCCGTTTGGGTAATTTTCAGTTGTAGTTGATGTAAACAGAGGCCTTGGTAACATCGCATCTTCCTTTTTTTATTTTATGCTTTGAATTAACATAGGTTTTTAATGTGAAGCCCACATGAGACTAATGGTTATAACAAAAAGAGCTTTAAAAAACCTGTATCTCAATGATCACATGTGATTATTTTAGTGTTTCACCCTTATTGTTTTGACAATAAAACTTAACTTGGGGCAGTGATAGGATGGTGGGGGTGGACACTATGCCCATATTATCCCATCTACTGTTTAATTTCCAGAAAACTAGGCCTACACATGTAGTGTAACTCAGAGAGAATATCTTCCCACTCTTTTTGAGTTGTTTCCACTGGCGATGAAAAAGAAGAAGAAAAAAAAATCCTTTTAACAGTTTACTAAAAAACCTGCTTATCTTTGAACTGTAAACACAGTTTCTTTGAAATCTGTCCCAAATAAGTGCCAATTGCACAGACCTGGTGCACAGTGGGGGGAAAAAATAAAAGACTTGTGGCTCTGAATTGCGTATCCTACAGAAGTTCTTTTCTATTACAGAGTTTAATTTTTTCTTTGTTGTTTTATAAGTGATAGGAAAAAATAAATAAATGAAAGAAAGCCCGGTGACATTCAGAGGGATAACAAACATGTGAGAGTGGGAGGGAGCTGGGGGGTGCCGGGTGTCCTGCATATCCCCTCCTGGTCATTGCCAAGCTGTAGTCACCTATCCTGCAAGCACAGTGGCCCGATTTCAGAGTTGGAATGAGGGATTTGGAGTGGAAGGGATGCGAAGGCCACTGATGGGAAATCTCGGGTTGGGACGACTTACGATACTTGTTGGATCAGCCTCCTCCCCCTCCTGGCCACTGCCTGTTGCAATAGGAGGTTTGTGGTGAAGGAGACCCAGGGGAGGCAGAGACAGGAGGCCCAGGAGCCCCAGCACCTGCTGTAGAGCTTCTGACACCATGCGCTGGGAGGAGGAAGCCTTTCCAGACAAGGATTGGAAAGGGCAATGGAGCAGCAAGCAGCAGGCAGGGCCGTCCTTTCTCTGACAGTGTCTCCCTGCTGGCAAGTAAGGCTTTGTCCTGGGGACAAACTGTTGTGAGCAGAGAGCAAAGGTCTGGTTTAGCAGAAGCACTTCCTGAGTGGAGGAAACACTATCCTCTTGGGGATTTTCATGTATTCCCCTCAAGCCCTAATCCATTCTTGTCCTCTTTGACTGAGGGATGTGTTGAGCTCCTTGCCAAGGGAGGGCTGGTGGAGCTGAGATGACCCAAATCTCAGGATTAGAAATGGTGCTTTTCATCACGATAGCTAATGGACTTGGTGCAGTAAACAGGAAAGATAGGGTCACATCTATAGGAGAAATAAATGAAAAGAGAAGGAAATTTTCACACTCTGCATTAAAATAAGTGTCTTTTTTTCTAATCTAATTTATGAGAACATGCCTATTGTTTATTTTTCCTTTTATCAGCTCGGCAGGGGGTCATAGTTAGTCTTCTGCAGTTTAAGGTCTCACCTTAGATGTTCTTTGTTAGGACTTGTCATTTGTTCACAGGAATGATGTGTAAATAGTTTCTGAGGAAACTTCAGGTGTGAGCATTTTAAAATCAAAGTCATTTTTCAGTTGACCTTTTTCAGACACACACACCATAGGTACACACACTGTCATTTTTGTTCATTTGGCTAGACACTGTAACTTTTCATAAGGTCAGTGTCATGACTTTGAGGTTTGTATTCATCAGTTGTTTGGTGGTCCTATGTTATGCTCATGACCCAGACAATTGTTCATATGAAAGTGGAAAATGGGGCAAAGGGTGGAGCCTCAGCTTGATCCAACAGAGAGAGCTTTGACGCAGAGGTCTGGAAATTTAGTTTTGAATAGTTCCAGTTGCAATTG